TGACAGAGATTTTAAGGATGCATTCTCTTCCCACTGTTATGAAACTCCATGTTTTTTTCATTGAGTATCTTAGCACACTGCCTGGCACAGACAGGAAATCAGTAGATATGTGCTGAATGAATGTATATAAATAAGTTATAAAGTAGGGCAAGAGCTGGAAGCATCCAGTGCTGCTAGAGCAGAGACTATGTGGAGCAGAGGGAGAGAAGCGACAGAGCAGTAGATGAAGCAGATCATGGAATGATCGTTATTCAGTGCCTACTGTATTTCAGGCACTATTCTAGGCGCTAGGAATACAACATATCATAAAACAAATAATATGCTCCACCTTTCCAGAGCCTTTATTCAAGGGTATTTTTTCCTTATGTTGCAGGATACTCACAGAGCAACAGTCCTCCGTTTGTAGTGTTATTCTAAATTTTGGCAAAAACAAGTCGTCTACATAACCAGATATAAGGGCCCTATGGGAGGCCATAGGTAACCTCCAAGCAGTGCCCTACCCTAAGCTAAAACATTTCAATATGCTTCCAAGAGAAATCTATTCCACGCCCTGTTGATAGTAAATTGATGGTATCCTTAGGAATGAGTGGAGTAACAGGAAAGTAGAATTAAATTACATACTTTACAAGTGAAATGTCTTCAACTTCCCCCATTAAATACCTCGGCCTTTTCCTCAAGTTCTTCACTCCTACAAGCCACTTTGTCCCTCTCCTTTTCTTCCTATTCTACCTCTTGAAATACCTTCTCTCCTAAATAAGCCAACGTTCATCTTTAGCTTATAAAGCTGCCCAATGACAACCATCTATCATTTCTCAAACATACCCCTTGGGGCTGTTGGTTTAAGTTGCTATATAAACACTGATTAAATCTGGTGGCCCTCTTATGATGGGATAGAATTCAGCAGTGTGTTATGGTTCACTGGTTGCTGTTACATGGAGCCTTGTTCCTTGTGCTAAGGAGTTTGGCCTTTGCCCAAAAGGCCATGTGGAGCACAGCAGGTTTTCAGCAGGGAAGTGACCCTGGGCAGATTCTCTGCACTACACTTGAGATTTCACCTCAGCTGTCAGGAAGAATCCAAATACAGCTGTGGATATCCCTCTAGCATTAATTAAAGCTTCACCCTGGACTCAGCTGCAGAGAAGACCATGGTGTGCACCACAGAGAGGGAACAGCTACAACTTCAAAGAATCTGCAGGTAGCTCTAAACATGTCAGACCTCTTCCCATCCAGGCATCTTCCTGGAAGTAGAGTTAAGGTTGCCATGTGCAGAGGGCATCTCGAAGTGAAAACTAAATTGTCTGCTTCCCGTAGAAAAGGAAATGACTGCATTTTGGGGAAAAGTCTAAGAAGTACAATTGCCCTTCAGATCTCTACTCTCTGTTCTCTTCTCTGGACTGATATCTATAGGTCTGTAAGGACACCCTTCATGTTAAAGGCATAGAATTATGCAATGTAGCTTGTCTGAAGCCAAGCCCCTGTGACCAAGACTGGGCCAAATCCCAGTGTGCTGTCTAATAATCATCATAATTATAAAAAATAATTGCAGCTACCATGTACTGAGAACTTCCTCAGGCAATTTGCCTAATGTATAAGCTATCAATTAATCCCTAAAACAATCTAGTGAGATGAAGATTACCATCACCGTTTGTTTATTTTAATTTATTTTATACATTCAATCACTATACATCACTTAGCTTATGAAGTGAATTTATCCAACATGAACGCACCTCACTCCAGTCCAGCTGAGGATACTATACACATTATCATCAACAGATAACAATCCATTTGACAAAGG